TAATGCCCACGTTGCTATCATCTCTACACCGCATGCTTTTCAACCATGCTCGAGCATGCAATTCTGCCTACAGCGTACTGCTGTCGGAACAAATGTGTTCTCTAACGTGATATGGGATCGCCCAGTTACCAATTATCCCTTGCCATAAGGTATGGTTGCGTAACTATGAATAAATAAAAGAATGGCCTCTACAACAATACGTTTATCCTAATCGGTTTCGGGAGCATTCGAACCCACACTCCTAACACTGTCCGTAAAGTTGAGTAGTAAAATAATGTTGCGCCTCCTTTTTCCACGAGCTCGCAAGTGGACTCAGCTATTGAAAGAACGTTGGCCTAACGAGCTTAAAGAACACGTCTGCTTCCTTCCAAGGCCAGGTATCATCTCAGTAACAAATAATTATATAGGCAAAAATGGGCGACAGTTCGCCAGCGAAGGGGTATTTGAATAGTATATGATATACGATTGTATTACGCTCTCTGATATACGGCGAGTACGTCTGCTTTCGATAAATTATATTCAAACCTATACATTTATATGGTAATGAAATATAAAAGCTATTTTGGTTGGTGGAACGATGTAGTGTTGTTGTTGTCAGGCCGGGTGGGGAAGGGATAGGGGAAATTGGGTCAAAATGTCAGTGTCTAGTCTGGGGGGACCAGTTTCTGAGGCCTATCACGGGCCTTGGAAACGGGACGCTCCAGAGACGTACAAGTCCCCAATTCAACCGCGCGCACCGCCGGTGCGCCTAGAAGCTGACATGTTGACCTCAATTCCTCCACCCCTCACCGGCCCTGACAACAACACTACATCGTTCCACCAACCAGCATAGTTTATTTATTTAATTACTATATAATTATACAGGCCTGAAGATAATTTATCGAAAGCAAAAGTATGCTCTCTGAAATGTCGGAGCGCTGTCTGATGGTTTGCGGTGACTGCCGATTTAATTGTTAGGCGTGTCGTAAACAACAGTTTTTTGATGATACGTCGACAATTTGCTAATCTTTCGCGATAATCCACACTTTGCTCATCGGCAGACAGTCGAAAAATGTGAAAGCTGCCGGTTAATAAGTGCAAGCTGCGTATGATTGCAATTTGTTTGATTTAATGTATGAACTCTACAACTAAGTATTATAAAAAACAAAAATATAAAAAAAGACATTTGTTTTAGTGGATGTGCTGCTCAGTGTTTGAGCGGTTCAGCATTAGATCTCTGACATGATTCAGTTTTGCTTCTCCGTTTTTTTACAGGTATACAATGCAGTGTGTTCTTCCTCTGAACATGTTCCTGGAGAAAATATTCATATTCCTCTGGTTTTGGCACCTTGTGGTCATTATCGTCACCTCCACCTCTCTTATCAACTGGTTGCGACGCCTTTTCGTTGGTCGGGCGCGGCTCAAATTCGTTCGCCGCTATCTCAAGGTCATGGGCATCTTGCCGCCCAAACTGGACGCGCGAGATCGCATGCGAACTCACCAGTTTGTTGACGAATACCTCACCTCGGATGCCTTCTTTCTCCTGCTGCTGATTGGCGCCAACAGCGGAGACCTGTTAGCCGGCGACCTGACAAGCGAACTCTGGTGCGGCTTTCTGTCTCGCACTCAGGGCAAACAGACCCCC